AGGAGGTGGTGAAGGGGGTTGGTGTTGGGGGGGGTGGGGGGGGGGAGAGGCTGGTTCCACGAGGGAGGGAGATGGAAGGTGAAAAGAACAGTTAGCAAACGGCTTGCTTTTCCTTGATGGAAGAAGTTGGCGAGGCTGGCTGAGCAGGGCAGGAGTGAGAAATCAGGAGGGGCAGATGGAGTGGAGTGCAGGAGGAGGGAGACTCGAGTGGGAGGGAAGAGCATGATAAGAGGGAGCATCGGGGGGGGGGCTGCCAGGAAAGTGGTTGTTTCGTGGGAGTGCGAGTGCCGAGATCCTGCGCCGTTCTGCTGGCACCAAAGAGGGGCGCAAAGTCAAATGACCGCAAAAGGGCTGGAGTGGAGTTTCGATTCCATTCAGGATTCAGAGCTGGAGACCTTAAGCTGGTGGGAGCAGGTGCCTTCAAGGCTTTGGTGCTTGGGAGATGCAGGTCTCATCAATTTAGCAGCTGAGAGGGAAAAATCCGGATTTAAAAAGAGACGGAGCAGCAAATCGCCACTTTGGGGTGTGATTATTACAAAACGGCTCTGGCAGAGATTAGCGCGAACCCGCCCGGTATCTGTGCCTCTTGCCCCCAACCAGCTGAAATGGATTTATGGCCTCGCTCGTGGCATATTGCATCTAGCGTCTCAATATAACTGGTTGCCCGTAAGTGGAATTTCTGACATCCGCCGTTATTTGCGGAGTACAGCGACTGGCAATGAAAACAGGAAGGTCCTGTTGGTCCGATCAGACCAGAAAGGCGTTATCTGTCAGAACCAAATTACTGATATAAGAAAGATTTCTGACACCGGCATGAAATGTCGGTTTTCACCCAAACGTTAAATCTGCATGCTTTATTAAAGTAATGGTTTGCACAGTAAATCTAACTAGGTAATTTAGCTGTACAATGGGCACTAATTACCTATTAGCTACCTATTATTAATTGCTTGAAACTGCCGCTGTTGTCATTAATCTATGGGAGGCCTGGCAGTCCTACAGTCTGCTTCTCCTATCATAATAATCTCCAGATGTTTTCAAAACATCTGCCTGGTTATTAGCGCCTGCGTTTCCAGGTCGAGGCAGATGCCCAGGACAGAGGTTTAAACTCTGTCACTGATAAGACCCTTGATCTCAACTTCAAGACAAATACCCTTAATCTCAGTCTGACCCGCAGGCCGGAAGACCAGATCTATGCCTATATAGAGACGAGATTCCCGCTAAAGGTAACCATCAGGAGGCAGGGATAAGATGGACCAGTGCATCGCTTCATATGGGTTTACAGTAGTAAAGCACACCTAGGTGGGATTATATTACTCCGGTGTAATGTAATATCAAAGATTGCTTCCTAACTATGGACCTTTGGGCTTGTTGATTGGAAGCATTATATCCTTAATCCAAAATTAATTAAGCTGATGAGTTGTGAAGGGGGCTCCAATTCTGGGATTTGAATCACGATGAGTATTTTTGAAACTCGGCAACCTGAGTCTGAACTGAATGTGCTTCCAGAGTTTCGTGCCTGTCTAAAGAGGCTCACCTAGGATAAAGTGAGTTCTCTTCCCGCTCTGGCTTCCTAGCCGCCCTTCCACCCACAACACTACAAATGCAGAGAGCCAGGGATGGCTGCACATCCTGTCCTGTCGAGGCCCCTATTTAAAGGGCTTCTGGTGTCTTTCGAAGCTCTTGGGAACACAAAGCATGCAAGAAACCTGGCCACACTTTGACTTGCACAAAAGGATTCAAGTTTGGAGATGTGACAGCGAACGCATTGCTTGCAGTAGGACGAGCCACACTGCTTATTAGTCAGAGGGGTAGCGGGCAAACGGTAATGCATTCTCTGAACAGCCGTACGTGAGAAGTTCACCGTGGTTTCATCTGCGGTCTTGAGTTGGTGTCTAGCTCAGCGGGAGGGGGAATCCCATAGCTGGGGGAGTAATTATATCATCGTTGAGCTTTTGAGCTCGGCCAGCGGTGGCAAATCCAATCCAAGGAGGGCCGCTGTGGGTGCGGGTTTTTGGGATGACCTCTCGTTCAGCCAATAACAGCAGGTCTCCAGGACTGGAGTTGAGAACCACTGCTTTATCATTGGCTGATTGAGAGGTCATCCCATAAACCCACACCCACAGCGGCCCTCCTTGGATCCGGTTCGCCACTCCTGAGCTAGACCCTTAACCTCACCTACTCTAGGGGTGCTGGGTGATGACTTAACCTGTAGTCTGTCCCCAAATATCGCTTTTACCCGTATACAAGATGCAATATGTGAAAACCACCCACTTTCCCCACAGGGATGATTTAAAGTACTGCTATTCTATATTTTATTCATGAATGATGTACTGTATATCTTATAAATGTTTATGTATGGCATGTTGCATTGCAAATATGTAGTATGGCCTCGTGTAGCACTCTTGAGAGCTGCCGAGCGATCTCTGACTCCTGACAGAAGCGTTTATGAATGTTTATGCATTGCTTAAAGGGACCGGGTGGGTAGCTTATGAGAGAATGACGGAAACTCAACCTTGAACCTTTATCTGAACTGTTCTCGGGCAGAGATGTGGAGATTTGTACACTGAAGACACAAGACTTAATAGTGACGATCATCAGTCTTTGCATTTTGATGTTTTCGACGGTCATCATTGTTCACTGAAGATATTCCGGCTTTTAAACGTATAAATCAGCTGTGGTGATATGGGGGTTTTGTGGAGTAGCTGGGGGCCTCTTTTCCTTACTAATGGTTGAGGGATGTTTATGAGTTCGCCCTCGATAATGATCTGTTTGCGAGGATGCAAGATGAAGTCACTCGTTCCCACATAGCTGCGCTGGAAATTTATGGGGGCGTTTGGTGCTGGAAAGGGCTGACTGCAGATCAGCAGGCAGAGATGATTCCCAGTGCCTTTAAATGAACACACCCCACCTTCTCCTTTCTGAAGTCCCGCCTCCCTGGCAGTTAGATCAGTTGGAAGAGCTACACCAGGGGTGGCAAACCGGATCCATGGAGAGCCGGTGCTGGTTTTTGGGACGACCTCTAAATCAGCCAATAACAGTGGGTCCCCGGGACTGGAGCTGAGAACTACTACTTTATTATTGGCTGATTGAGAGGTCATCCCGAAATCCCGCATCGACTCTCCATGGATCAGGTTCGCCACCTCTGAGCTACACTGTAGTCGACCTGTCCATGTAGGGGGGGTACAGGTGCAATATTTATAATCCACTTGCAAATGCGAGATACAAACACACTTGCTGTCCTCCAAGAATTGTACGTATATTTTATGCATTTATGAGTTACTAAACTTCATGTGTGTCATCTATAGCTTCTTCAAAACTCCCAAAATATTTCCATTTGATATCTTATGCTGACCCCACGATATATCGAAACCGTGAGGGGGAAAGTCGCGATGCACAACTGTCGACTGTCGTTTTTCATTTGTGAGTCTGCTGTAATTAACCTCATCCCTTACATCATTGGTCAGTTCATTTTCATGCACATTATTTTGGCAATCCTTGTTTGTAGTGCTTCTAGCAAGCCATTTCTTTCTCTATTTCTATGTTTTTGATGGTGGGATGGGACTGGCTTTTCCCTGCTCTTGTCGTGCAGAGCCGACCGTGGTCTTTGCACCTTTCCGCCGCCTGGCTTCCGTCTGGCTCGCTGCTCCTTTTCAGCCCATCCACTTAGGTCTCGTTCTTTTGTGTCTCGGTTTGTGGCTTGTATGTCTCATCCATCTTCCCTTGATCAAAGTGCAGTACAAAAGTGTAGGAACCTTTTGATGGCTCCTCTGCAGGGAGCAGCTGTATCTTTGCTTATGCTGTTTTTCTGTTTGCATTTTGAGCGACGCTGGTTTCATGTCCTCCCAAAGGAGGTTGTTAAAGGCAGAGGCCATTGGCTTTATAAAGTTCACACATAAGTTGAGGACTTGCCAACAGGTCTTACTTCTTAAGGTGACCTTCGGAGACTGTCCCTGTAGACATGTCAACCTCCCTCTAACCATCCTGGTTGTCGGCATTCTGTCCCCAACTTGGTGTAATTG